GGGGGGCTGGGAGGGAGAGGCCACGCAGCCCACCCTTCCCAGGCCCAGAAGCCCTTCCTGAGCCGAATCTTCCCGCCTTTCTCCTCTCCTGCGACCCCAGTCCTCTGGGCGGGCATCTGGTTCCTGGGTTTCTGCTTCCTGGCCAACCAGTGGCAGCATTCGCCACCCAAACACTTCCTCCTGGGAAACAGCAGCGCCAAGGCCGCCATCACCTTCGCTTTCTTCTCCGTCCCCATCTGGGTGAGGATGAGCCCCTCCCCGGCACCCTCTGCGGGGGCAGGAGTGGGGGGGCTAGACCATCCTCCCTCTCACTCAGCTCCCTGGGCCTCTGCCAGCCCCTTCCCCAACTCCCAGGAAAACTGGAAAGAAGGCGCCTTCCATCCAAGCAGACTCAGGCCAGCATTAGGCCTGATGCTGGGTGACTGGTGAGCCGGGTGACCAGTGAGCAGTGGGCACAGCCGCACCCTGCGTCTCCCTGCCAGGCCAGGCCCCAGCCCCAGTCCCAGCCTCAGCCCCAGCCCCTCTTCTTCTCTCCTGTCCCCTCAAGCCAGCCTTCAGCATGCCCTTCTCTGCCCACAGATATTCCAGGCCTACCTGGCCTTCCAGGACCTCCGCAACGACTCGCCCGTCCCCTACAAGCGCTCCCTGGATGAAGGTGGAGTGGTGCTCACCACTCTCTCCCCACCCTCTGCCACCAGCCCTATCAACACGCCCACCACAGGCCCCAACAACATGAGTTATGCCAGCTCCGCCTTGTCCCCCTATCTGGCCACTGCAAAGGTCCCCCGCCTCGCTATGATGCCCGACAACTAGACACCCTCATCCACCTCAGTAAAGAGCTCATCCCCCTCCGGAAGGATTTACTGAAAACAGTCCTCTGTCTTTCTCATGTTTGTCCCGCGCTGGTTCCTGGAGTGGCCAGGGGTGGGGAGAAATCCAACCAGGTGGTCTCTACAGTAGGTCCATGCCACCCCCCAGGCTCTCCATCTGGGTACCACTGTGACAGTGGCACATTAGAGGTGGTGACAGGAAAGACACATCTTTTGGGTCCGTTAGCCCTGGGAAGGAGGCACAAGGCGTCCACTGTGCAGTTGAGGGAGTTCAAGTACAGAGAGGGAGAGAAAGCTCCCGCCTGTAGAGAAAGCGCTAAGAATCGGGGCCAATACTGGGGCCCACCCTGTTGCTGACACCAAAGCCCAAGCTCTTTCACTCACTCCAATGACAAGGGAACCAACTCAAAAGCAAGCTGTGTGAGGAGTCATTAAAGGAACAGGGGGCCATGAGTCCGCGACTGAGGGCAGGGAGATCCTTGTCTTCAAATATTTGGGAGACTGTTGGGAAAGAGGAGGGGTTTATTCTAGAACCCAAAGCTCATCAGGGACTCACACACAGGCCACAAGATGCTCACATCTGTAGGGCCAAGCGGGCAGCCCCAGTGAGTAAAGCAGCCATTAAGTGTGGATGGGGGCAGGGGTGTGTCTAGGAGGGGCAGCCCTCACTGAGCACCCACAGCTCAGCACCGTGGGCCTGGGGTGCCTAGAGCAGCGCTGTCCCATTGAATATAATGCGAGCTGCAGGGCGTGGAATTTTCAATAGTCTAGTAGCCACACTAGGAAAAGTAGAACGAAACAAGTAAAAATGATTTTCATATATTTTATTTAACCCAGTATATCCAAAATATTATTTCAACATGTCATCAGTATAAAAATTATTAGATATCTTACATTCTCTCATACCACGTTTTCGAAATCCTTTGCATATCTCACATCTCAATTTGGACTCATCACATTTCAAGTGCTAATGGTACGTGTAGCTGATGGCCACATTGGACAGTGCAGCTCTAGAATCTTCTGGTTTTTCTAGAACAATTGGACACCTCTTTATGCAAATTTTCTTGATGTTATGCAGGCCAAACAAAACACCCCCACAAGGGTGACGGACAAAGGGACGAGAGTTGTGGGGGGGTCAAACGTGAGTTCTGTAGTCGCTCTGTGAGGTTTACTGTGTGGCAGCCCCATGCTCAGTTCTGGGGGTACAGAATAAATAGGACATGGTCCCCTGGGCATGGGGAGAAGCGGCAGCGGTGGAGTGGAGGGCAGCGCTGTGACGTGGGAAGCGGGAGGATTCAAACTCTCATCCTCACTGTCGCTAGCTGGATAAACTGGGACGTATCGCTTAGTTTCTCTGGGCCTGAACTGAGTTGGCTGGAAAACTGAGAGACTGGGTCCAGATTGAGTGATGGCTTTCAGACCACATTCAAAGAGGTGCTGCCTCCCAGCCCCAAATCCACCCTAGCAGCCCTGCTCCTGTGTTCTCCACATCAGGCTCTGGGAAACATTCCTCTAAACAGGAGGTCCCTTGGCTTAAAAGAAAGAAAAACAAATCGTTGAAAAATCCCACAACAGTGGCTAAATGCACAGGCTCCAGTGACAGGCAGCCCGGACACAAACCCACCTGTGCCACTCACCCTCCTAAGCCTTGGTTTCCTCCTCTGCAGTGTCCCTCTTTGGAGGTGCTAAGGTCCCAGTGGGCTCCTCCACATTGCCTGGCACTCGTGAAATGCTCAGGAAATGCCAGCTACCTGCCTCCTGAAGCCTCCAGGGCCATCCTATGGGAGACCTGGGGACGGTCAAGGAAGGTCTCAGTGGACATCTAGGAAGTCTGACTAAATCCTAAATCCGGGGGCAAAACCCCCAAAGCTCCAAGGGCCAGGCAGGTAATGCAAGTGAAAGATAAAGGCAGGTGTGAAGCCAGTCTGGAGGGAGATGTGGAAAATATCCCACTTTCCTTTTAATTCCACAAACAAAAACAGAAAGCGATGTGTCAGCCGGACAATGAATGGTAAAGACCCCTCAGCCAAGTCCTGGGGACCGTGGTGGAAAGCTGTGTCCATTCAGCTCCAGCCATCTGTTGCCACCCAGAAATGAGGACCCGGCATTGTCAGACTGACAGATTTTTTCAAGAGAAGCCAGAAATTCAGATTTTAATGTGAAATTGGATTTTAAATACTGGCAACCGATTCCTTTTTTTTTTTTTAAGAAAACAGAATGGCTCAACAAAATGCCAGGTGAGGGTGGAACGAGCTGCCTGCTGGTGACCTCCGAAGGTCCTCTGTAACCCTGAGATTCAGGACAACAGTCAGGGAAGTTCTGTGCCAGTCAGGAAGAATCTTCGAGATATTTTTCTCCAAAGCATCTTCCCCAGTGGGACCCTGAGGAGTCAGGATACAGCTCAGTCTTGGGAAACCCAGTTTCTCATCTTCCTGCTCCTCTCAGGCCTCAGCCGCCTGTGGAGAGTCAATGGGACAAAGCAGAAGCAGACAGGGGCTGGGCTGGGACCCCACAAACGCCAGAGAGCGAGGGCAAGGAGTAGCGAAAGAGGCATCATTTTCCTCGGTTTATTTCAAGAGAACAAAGAATCAACCATCAATTCTGTACAAAAACATGGCAGAGTCACGGTGGCCCTGGAGCCAGCCCCCTAAATGCCCCAAAAACGAGGACAAGACTAAAAAAGCCCAAACTCTGGGTAAAATTATTATGAAAAATCAGGGGAGACCTTTCCTCTCCTCCTCCCTTTCCTCAGCCCAGAAGTTTGGGGGGCAGGGGCTGTGTTCATGGCCAGGGTGGGAGGTCAGGTGTAGGCAGATTTAGTGTTTGGCAAACAGTGGAGCTGGGGGGTATGGTCTGGAAGCGAGCTAAGGGGCTTGGAGAGAGAAGATCTCCCACCCTGCACCCCCCCCATACAGGATACTTGAAATAGTTTATAAAAACCAGGGCCAGACAGTAGAAGAGAAAGGAGTCATCGGAATCAAAAACTAAATAGTGGAAAGATTTTTTTCTTCTCTAAAAGGCAAAAAACCAGAAACAGCCCAGGTCCTGAGCTCCCCAAGTCCTGGGTCCTCCACCACCCCCTGAAACCCGGCAGGAGGAAGGTGGGGAGTGGGGGAAAGTCGGTTCTTAAAAAAGTCACCCCTGGACAGGAAGACTCCTCGTCTTCCGTTGCCTTCCTCTGCCCCTCTCCCTGCCGAGGAGAGGGATGGCGCAGGCCAGGGCTACGCTGGCAAACTCAGCTTCTTCCCCTTCAGGACTGCAAGGAGAGAGAGGAGGCAGCGTTACCGTGGGGCCGGGAGGGCACAGCCTCCCACACCAAGCTGGATGCTGGGCACGACGGAGATGCGAGGGGGGCTGGTCCCAGGGCCCTGGATTATAAACTGGGGAAATCGGCCTGAATTACTGAGGGCTGCGCTGGAGGGACCCCAGTCTTGTCCTAGGTGCTGAGCACTGAGGCTAGAGGAGGCCCCATTTCTCCGGGTGGTGACAACTCCTCTCCCACCCTTGAAGGACTCAGGCTGGAGGCCTTGGATCCCAAGAGGGAGCTGGGGTCGAGGGTCTGGCCGGGCTCACCAGGCGAGACCAGTATCCTGCCCTCCCAGCTTTAATCCCAAGGGCCTGGGGCTGCCTCCGGTCCTCTGCTCTCCTGACCCCCTTTCCTTCACATCAGCTGACACCTGATTTCTCGGGTCTCTGCTTTAATCATCATCTCCTCTATGAGGCCTCCCCTGAGACCCCCCTCCCCATGGAAAGTAGCCCCCTCACCCTCCACAGCTGTTGCACCCCTGGTTTCTTTGTCGTAGCTCCCGCACTACTCGCAGTCATCTCTCTTTACTTGTTCATTCACCATCTTCCCCAACTAGAATTGTATATTATTGCGTCCCTAGAGCCCAGCCCTGGCCCAGTAAATTTCTTGGTTGAATGAACGAGTGAATCAATCAACCAGCCAATCAATGAATCTCAGTGGGCCTGCATCCCTGAGGGTGAGGGCAGCGCTCAGTGAACAGAGATGAGACCCTCCCTTCTCTGAGCACTGCTGGGCTGGGGACATGGGAATTTCAGATTTTTTAGGGTGTGAGACTGAAACCCTATGGATCTGGAACCTCAGGGCAGGAGGAGGGCTTAGGACAAATTGCAAGAGAGGAAAAGTCAGAGGCCGCCCGTGCCCCTCTTTGCCCTGTCTCCTCTTCCCGCAAATGCTCAAGGGCTGGGGAGAAAGATGCCTGGTCTTCATGTGGTCCAAGCAGAGGCACCTCTGTGCAGGAAGGCGGCCCTTGCTGCCTTGCTGTCTTCCCTCAGGGCCTAGGGGCCCCAGGAGAGTGACCCCTTGTCCTTCGGGAGGCTGGGGCTGGAGGCTGAATTCCTAGGGGGCGGTGTCTGGGACCCTGGGACCTGAGAGAGGAAGTTCTCTCCCCTGAGTAACGAGTGACACAGGGCTGGGGCGATGGAGGGCGAGAGCTAGGGAGTGAGCAGGACCCCTTCTGCTGACCCCCACGCTGGCTACCTTTGGTGATGTAGAGGTAGAAGAAATCGCAGTAGAGGACTGTCTGGACCAGGCCGGCCACGATGGCGATGAGGTCAAAGAAGCCCTCGAAGTAATAGCGCCAGATCCAGTTGAAAAGATAGAGCGTGCGGTAGACGCCCAGTGCGAACAAGTAGTGGCTGGTGATGGTCTCCGCCTCTCCCGTCTTGCTCACCATGAAGAGCTGCGGCAGGATGGCCACCGACTCCAGGTAGATGGAGAAGGTCCAGAGGATCTGCAGGGAGGCGGCAGAGCAGGGGCAGAGGGCAGGACGAAATGGGAGGGGACAGGGTGGGAGAGAAGGCAGATGTCAGGTGCAGACCATGCTGGAGAGAGGAAAACCCGACAGCAATGCCGCCAGCACTTCCTGTGTGCCAGACAGCGCTCTGCCTGAGCCATGTGTATTCTCACTTAATCCTCCACATGGCCCATGAGGGAGCTGCTATAATTAGCATCCCCAT